CCTCGTGAAAGATGGCGTAAGGTACAAGCAATTCTGTCACGAGTATGGGACCGCTGGTTGAAGGAATATTTACCAACATTGAACACACGACCGAAGTGGACGAACGTGGTAAAAGATTTGAAAGATGGTGACGTTGTTCTGGTCTTAGATAAAGACTTACCGAGAGGAAAATGGCCATTGGGACGAATCATAGCGACATATCCAGGGAAAGACGGACATAGCAGAGTGGCAAAGGTGCAGCTGGGAAACAAGTCGAGGCTAAATATCGTTACATCGCAACAATTATATTTATCAAAAAGCTCTCAGAAGTCACAGAAACTATAGTCCTATGGGTATGACACCAAAACCTAAAAAAAATAAGAACAAATATAAGGGCCCCAAGCTCTTCGGCTGAAACGTTGAGGGCCCCAAGCTCTTCGGCTGAAACGTTGCACTAACTAGAACTCCCACCCAAGAACTACAATCATAGTGATTCAAAACTCTTTAACCTAAGGTACTCCGACAACAGAATGAGCTTCCTTGAGTACCTCTAGCTTTTGCATATATTAAAGTTAGTACAAAACATAAAATACTAATTCTCTTTGTTATTTCCTCAAAATATAGTGGTACTGGTAGCACATTATACTGTGCTTTCATGTCATTATAAAATCAGTCCTCAGGATAGTTTCGTGCCACCACAGAAAATTATGAATTTTCAAAATAGTATCATGAAATACAAATAGCCTTGTGTACAGCCGTTACTCTCGACGAAGCGCGCGAGAGAACGTCTGTGAATTGGATGCATAATCCTTGTTCAGGTCACGTGGATTTTTCCCAGATTTGGGGACGTCGACAGGCCTCTGATTGGACTGACAGTGCTTTATTTGAATAATTTATGACAAATAAAGTTATTTCATTGGTTAATTGATAATTACCATGCGTTTAAAATAACAACACAAAAATTTTAAATTCAGAGATTTCCAGATCAAGAATCAAGAATTCCTTCGGGCCATATAAAGGTTTGAAAGACTTGAAATATAAATTTTGTGCTGTATCGAAGTTTAAGAAAATCAAGATAAAATTCTAGTGTTTGGACACTCAGCGAACAATGCTGACAAATATATAAAATACTATACAAATAATGAATGTTTATGAGTGCAATGGTAAGAATATTTTCATGAGGTGAAAGATGGAATGTTCCATTTTGCACCGAATATATAATACCAAAATAAACTAATGGATTCGTATGACAGGCATTTTGACGGATGCGATTTATCGAAAACACAAAGAGTGCAATGGAATAAAACGTATAGTACCATTGCACTCGCAAAGAGTGCAATGGAACGTATTCCATTGCACTCTTGGGAAATGGAATTTTCTATTCAATATCACCTGACCATAAACAGCCAATTAAACGATCAGAATTTAATAAGGTATTATATAAAACAAACTATCGGACGGAAATTGACCATTTATAATTGACCCCTCGCGATAAAGCATTTTCTTTACATGTAATGTGTTTAACTTCGTCTTTGGCTTACTTTTATTTACTTTAAAATGCAGCTTTTGAATAACCAGTTGTGTTTATATTTAATACTTCAATTGTCTTTGTGGACAAATATACGCTATATGTACGCCAAGAACTGAGCTTGTACACCGGACTTGCCGGCAATGATCATCGTTCAGCATTGTTCGCATTCAAAACAAATCTCTTCATCGAGAAATATATGCAATATATTTCTGGTGTATCGTTTTTCAGATTGTATTTCAGTCTTTCAAACTTTTGTAGTAATTCTTAAGGAAATCTCTGAATTGAAAATTTTTGTGTTGTTATTTTAAACGCATGCTAATTATCAATTAACCAATGAAATAGCTTCATTTGTCATAAATTATTCAAATAAAGCACTGTCCAATCAGAGGCCTGTCCCCAAATTGACGGTGAAGTTAAGCGCAATCTCTCGAAGAAAGATAAGTGCAGAACTGGCTAAACGCGACGCATCTCCTAGACTTTGGGAAAAGTTCCGCGAACTTCGAAGATCAGCCAAAACGTTTATACAAGCTAAACGTACGGAGAATTTTCAAAAAATTCCATCTTTGTTAAATTCCAGTAGCAAAAAGTTCTGATCACTATTTAAATCCTCCTCAAATCACTCCAACATCCCTGCTAAAATGTCATGGTCCAATCAAGATTTTAAGGTTGGTCTTCACATGGGGCTATTCATGTCCTGTTGACCATACCTTCAACCATATTATGTAGTGTTTTAGTCTATTTTATGTATGGTTGTAAAGTTAATAAATAAATAAAGATTCAACGTCTTCGACTGCTGACAACCCAGTTGATATTGCTGACTTGCTAGATTGCTACTTTTACTCGGTGTTTCAAACTCCCGACCTTACTCACAACCAACTCTCCTCTGTTGATTTTGAAGATGACATGATCGATCTAACCACCATCTCAGATCTTATGTACTTCGAAATCTTGACGAAGAGAAAGCAACTGGTCCTGACAAAATCCCAGCTGTTTTACTAAAAAACTGCGCAGCTAGTATAGCTCCGTCATTATGTGAACTTTTCAACAAAAGTTCATAGTCGGGTCAACTTCCGTCAGAATGGAAGTTGTCTAATGTTTGTCCAATCCCAAAGAAAAGTCCACTTCATGAAGTTTCCAATTATAGACCAATTTCACTTCTGTCGTTAGTCTCGAAGGTATTTGAACGTTGCAGTACTATCCGGCGTTCCCCAAGGATCAATTCTCGGACCAATCCTCTTTCTAATCTACGTAAACGATCTTCCGCCCCTATAGCGTCTCCCAAGGTACTGCCGTGTCAATGTTTGCTGATGATACTAAATATCATCGCGCTGTTCGTAATCTTCAAGACAGAGAAATCCTACAATCAGATCTTAACAATATTACCAACTGGTGTCAGGACTGGAGGATGGATTTAAATAAATCCAAGTGCAGAGTACTTCAATTTACCCGTTGTCTCCAACCTACTATCAATCAGTACACATTAGTTGACATCCCAGTCAAACCTTTAACCTGTGTAAAAGATCTTGGCGTAAGTATCACCAAAGATCTGAAGTGGAACCAGCACGTGCAGGACTTATCCTCAAAAGCTAACAAAATGCTGGGTTTTGTCCGGCATTCACGATAAAAGAGTTCGTGTCCGGCATTCACGATAAAAGAGTTCGAAAGATACTGTACTTGACTATCGTTCGAAGCCAACTAGCTTACAGTAGTCAAGTGTGGGCACCCCAAACAGTCAACAACATCCTAACGATCGAACGGTTGCAGCGACGTGCATCAAAATTTATTCTTTCGCTCCCGTACAAAACATCTATCTCGTATAAGAAACGATTGGCTACCATCGGAATCCTCCCTCTATGTTACTGGCATGAGTATTTAGATATGGTGTATCTTCACAAATGCCTTATAAATAACTCTGATAGTAACTTATCTATAAAGATCCCTGCACGAGAAACAAGGAATACTAGTTAAACCAACGGCATCCTAATTGATGTAACCAAAAGTAAAACTGTTTCTTTTCAAAACAGCTTTTACATCCGAGCTGCTAATGTGTGGAACACGCTTCCCGGCTTCATAAGAAATACCACCACATCTCTAATTACATTTAAATGTAATCTAACGAAATATTACGTAGAATTAACTCAACAAATTTATGATCCTGAAGATCCAAGAACATTTAAGTCTGTGTGTATTAAATGTCACACCACTCGCCCACTAATGAACTTATCAACTCGAACATGTTGCTAAATTTAGTTTTTGTTCGTTTGTTCGTCAATACGTTTGCTTTGTCTTCTTGTATTTGTGTTTAATTGTTATGTTTGCTTTAATTTAAAAATAATTAGATATACCACAAGTTGTTCTTTTTTTGGAACGCCGTTATTGGAGAACTATCTCTGTGTGGAAATTCCAGTCATTTGTAACCATAGTACTCTATATAGATCTATTGCAATGGAAAACTTGTAAAAATAAAAATAAATCTGGGAAAAATCCACGTGATCTGAACAAGAATTATGCATCCAACTCACAGACGTTCTCTCGCGCGCTTCGTCGAGAGTAACGGCTGTACACAGGCTAAATGCAAACTGCAGACTTTATTCAAAACGTCATAAAATATGCAACAAATAGAACATGTAAAACAATAGTCAAAATACCATTTTGCTTACGATTTAAATGAAACGAAAGTTGATTACTTTGTACAACAAGGCTTTAGAGACCTTTACATACTTGTAGCTAAAATATAATACATTGTACTCAACAATTTTTGTAGGAAATTTTCTCGAGTGTGTGAAGTTATGAACTGAGAAATATTTTACCTGTAGTTGCGGTTTCAAATATCGTCTTTGCCGATGTATTTCGAAGTTTAATTTCTGTCTTTTGAGGACGAGAATATGATGTGTACGACTTGCACACATTTGAACCAGTAGTCAAAGGTCCAAAAAATATGAAAAAATCAAAACTACGAGAATATACTGCAAAGACTTCAACAAGCTAAAATATTTTAATAAGAACCAAGGGGGTGTCAGTGGTAATTACCATGAGCCGGAGGAACCATATGGCGTCATTCTGGCGTCAGCAAAGGCCGAAATCCGCCATGTTTTTGGCGACACTTATTCATGCCGAGCAGGTCTTCCAGTAATATAGTATAGCTCAGTGGTCGCAACAACAGCTCGCGAACGCCATATTGTTTCAGAGCGTGGTGTCCACGCGTCACGCGTGAGATACTATAATATCCCACGGTGGATCTACCGTGGGATATTATAGTACCTCACGCTTCATTGCGAAATCATGAATTTGACTGAAATACCGTAAAAATCACATTGTCACGTGGTACTAATGCTGTTTTTTGATTGGACAATTTGAATTTGAGGTATAACATTACATTAAAAACCAAGCTCCTCCTCAGTGGTCGCAACAACAGCTCGCGAACGCCATATTGTTTCAGAGCGTGGTGTCCACGCGTCACGCGTGAGATACTATAATATCCCATGGTCCATGGCGGATCTACTGTGGGATATTATAGTATCTCACGCTGCATTGCGAAATCATGAATTTGACTGAAATACAGAAAAAAAATCACATTGTCACGTGGTACAAATGCTGTTTTTTGATTGGACAATTTGAATTTGAGGTATAACATTTCCTCGACCGGGGGGGGGGGAGGGTTCTGGTATTATATGTAATACCAAGTCTCCAATAATGAAAACGAAACTAGCTTCTTATCGAACAACCGTTTGAGAGGCGACTTTCAATCCACCTATCTTACACGACTTTGCCTTTAATCTTAAGTCTGAACCGTACCGGCACTTCATATAAATACATTTGAGGCAAAGATATATACTGTAGGTTAAAGAGAAAATAGGCAGCAAGTTGAATACTTACATCAAGACAATGAAGTAATGGATGATCGCAATTCTTTGTTAAAGCATAAAACGGAAACTCTTTGGAAAGTTTATTCTCTTTACAGAGATGACATTTCATGATGTCGACTTGTACTTGTCTTGCCAAGAGGTCGCTCAGAGAATATGTAGTTCAGAGACAGCAATTCAAGCTAAGTTTGCTAAAATTGCCGCTATAAACCTGCCCATATATTAACGTCAACACTTTATATTATAATAATAGGTTCTAGGAAGACAGGTGATTTCCAAGTATTTCAACGGAAGTGGCACCCTACAGAACAACCTACTGTTTTACTTTTGTCTGTTCGGAAGAACGTACAATTGAACCCAACAATGCCAATGACTAGCTTATTTTACTGAGAATATAGCTGAACAACAATTTTTTAAGCATTGCCCTATAATATAGCCGATATATATCGTAAAATGTAACTTGACAACGAATCTGGAAGTCCTTCAATTCTAGGAAGCGTGGGTGTTTTCCCGGAATGCGCTAGACGCAGGTATATAAAGAAACCGCAAGTGAAACGAATAAATTTGTCACTCTTTTTTTTACAAGACGAAATGTGCTGGAAACGTTAAACAAAATTAACGAAAAAACATATCAGTTGACAGTATATTATTTGACTAGAATTTCCATTGGCACAGATTGTGATAAACAAGAGCAGTCAGAGTCTAGGGGTGGTATGTGATTGTGGTTTTAAGTTTATTTATATACTAATTATCGTAGTTAAATTCAGTAGCTAGGCCAATAGGTGTGTGTACAGTGCTGGAGGTGATCCAGTGTCAGTAGTCTTAGCATGTATCAAGCCAAAATGGAAAACAAACAGGAATCAGTAATGCTGTTTAATACCAATACTCAATAGCTGTGCAGTAGCTGTCCTAATGCACAAACACAAATCTTACGCAGTTTTATTTTCGTTTGAGCATACGTTTGAAAGAACTGTTCGATTGCATATTAATGAGAGACTTGCGAGCTACATTATAGATTCTATGTTATCAGCCTGCATGGCAGATATTATGATGTGTTATTAAATGGCGTTATTTATTTTTGGTAAAATTTGACGTTCGATTTTTTAATATAATACGACGAACTTAATGTAATTTGCTCGAATATAATGTGAAGACATATTACTAGTTACTTCCAAGCCCAAGGGAAAGGACAGGGCCAGGGAGCAAGTCAAAGAACAAGCAAACTGAATCTTACTTTCCTGTATCTCGACTGTGAAATAAGCTAGTATACGTACGCAACTCGCAAGCAACTTTCGTATCAATTTGGAAGTGTTTGTTTGTCAAAATGAAAGTAAAAAAGCCGTTACTTCCAGGAAGCGTATTGGCGTTTTCCTGGAATCCTGCATTGTAATTTGTAACTGAAAACAAGCGAAACAATGTTGGATTTACTTCTTTGTTATTGACTGATACTCAGTGCTCTCACTTTTAAGGAATTATCCTTAAAAATAGGAATTTTGAAGAGTTTTAAGGATTTTTTTAAGGAATTTAGGTTTTTGAGGATTTTTTAAGGAATTTCCAAAACATTTTATCCTGGACTAAAAACGTTTTGACGGAGAATAACCACGCCACGCAAATGAGATTTAAACTTGAAAGTAGCAACATTATATGCACATAATTACATATATTCGTATGTTCTCTATGTCGTAAATGTACATATGGCTGTCTTTCCATTAAAATTCTCAAAAGTTAAATGTCAGTGTATGCTGTTTCTTCTGAAATCTACAGATTTTCTAAGTTCTCAGGGCCCTAGCGACCAGAGGAGGGAGGGTGCAACACCCCTAATATTGCTCATGAACAATTTCAGGTAGATATCCTGTAGATTTTTAGGTAAATTCAGGTAATTCTAAGGGCATAAAAAAGTGAACTCTCTAATCTGAATTGGAGTTAACAATCAAACAAACTAAAGACGTTGAGACGTGTTGTGGCAGGGAGACAATTGCGAAATACCCTTTCTGACGATCTGGAGACTCCAAATTTCCAAAATTTTCTCAATTTCCATTATAAACTGAAAGTAGCAATACTTATCTTCATTGTTAGGCAATACTAAAATATTGGGTAGGAAAGACTCTAAAAATGCCATTTCCGACGGTCTAGAGACTTCAAATTTTCAAAAAATACGGTTTTAAAGAACGTTCAGTTCGAAAAATTCAGGTAAATCAGGTGAAAAAAACACTTTTTGCAACTCTGTGATCAGGCCTTGTAGTAATTTTACCAATTTAAGGAATTTTAAGGAAATCTGAGGAATTTTCGAGCTTTT